TTACATCATATAAACATCCTTGTTCAAAACACCGATTTCCTCTGTGACTCAAACTTTCCTTTTTTCGCAATCTCCTTTTTTTGTTTTCAAATATATACAACCATCCATTCAACTATTATTTAATTAAGCCCACTGATTCCGGGTCTGCGGTAACTTCCGCTGGTGTATAATAAAGTGAACGATGCCCAAATCCGTTGACTTAGGGCGCATTCCCATAGATTTTAGATCGATCTATCCCCGTGGGGAGTCTCACTAGATTACTGTCAGACAATCCGGCTTAAATGTCCGTCCCGCCTACTACAAGCTGTAAGGGGGTAATTAACTTTCGTACCCGCTCGGCTGACAGCTATTTAGCGTGAACCCCCAGGGAGTTAGGTCGATCTAGTTGGATCGATCTAATCTCTGGGAATGGGGTCTTATACCAAGAAGTTGTACTCTTTACAACTTCTTGCTTAAAAGCAGTATGATGGCAGCTTCACTGGAAATGCCCCCGTTTGTTAATTTGATTACACGCTGTTTATGTCAAAACGCGGAACTAATCAGGGTTAATTTGGGATTGAGCAGGACAGGGATCGGCTTTGTCCAGATTGAGGACTTAAATATAACACTTGATTTCCAGACTTAACTTGATCAACATCTGCTACACTTTCCTCGTTTTTTCTTCATGAAGTGTCGATTATTCAGTATGCAGCTATAGCCTACTATAGCCCTAAATTTCTTCCATTAATCAAATTCATTTAACCCTCCTCTATCTTCCCCCTCCCTTCTCTCTCTCTCTCTCTCTCTCTCTCTCTCTCACCTAACTCACTATATGGAGGACGCACGCACTCGGAATAAAAAAACTATTATGCAGGCTCGCGAGAAAATAAACCAGGAGAAATAAAATGTAATCTGGGTCACACGCAAGTTTGATTTCAGTTTTCCTTTCACACCTGTGTTGTCTCACTGACATGTAAACCTTGATAAACTCCCCTACGGTAATTATCCTTAAATTTCAAACAACGCATTGCAGTTCCCGTATTTTACCTTTTAAAGATTCATCACTTTGTTCTACTATCTAAAATGCAATTTTTTCACTGAATTGAACATGTTTTTACACATGTTATTATCAACACAATGTTTTTACAGACATAATTCTAAAAATGTTATTTGAATTTATTGAGCAATAACCTTTCCCGACATTCTCAATCCTCCTGTTATATTCTCACACCCATATATATAGTATAATAGCCAGAATATACAGCTATTTACATCAGAACAGAAGACTAAAGGGCGGTATTCTGTATATAAATGTATACATATAAGTCTACACCAGCGGCCACAGACAGTGGCGGTATACGTGGCTTACCTAAGATATCTATTTTCATAACACATAAAGCAGATAATGGAGGAGCAACAATCGCAGTTTGATGTAACGCCTGCGTGTTTATGGAAGAAAATTCCATCGCCTTTGTCGGTTTATTATTCCTCTCTCACCTGAAGGGCGATTGAACAAGTTAAAGGGTATTCTAAATAGGTCCACTGCAAGACACAAAGACATCAAATGGGTGTTGGGTAACTTTTAATGCTCCGGTTGGGTGGGGGAGTTATTAACCTTAGGTTATCTACTAAATCAAGTCCATGAAACTTGTATCCAGTCCTGTCCTAGGTATGACGATCCAGGGAGGTACCATGTGATGAAGATGTCAATCCTTGGCTTTTTTTTCAACGCAAACATCTATGTTAGAATACACCAAACAGGGGCGGATCCAGAGCTATATACTGACAGTCTTCCAAATTATCTTTGTTGATTCATCCTCCAATTTTGACCGTCTTCCAACATTAAAAATTGGATACCCGTCAATGTAAACTTGAAAATCTGACCGTCTTCTGGAAGACCCAGAAGACGGCCTAAATCCGCCCCTGCCAAATGCATCTGAAGCTAGAAAAGGAGATGCATTCTTCTGATTTTTATCTTTGGTACAACTACTAAAAAGCGTAAAATATATTGGACGTCCACAAAAAAACTCCTACGGTATACGGAAAGGGGGGCCTCTAATATACCCGTACTTGTACTTTTCCAGTCACCTTACATTTCCGTGTCTACTCAGACACTTCAGAGTACTGATAGAGGTGGTGGTGGTGGGGGGGGGGGGGNTAGACGGACTTTTTGTTTCAAGTTAATAGTATTATCCGGTCCTCTTTAGAGCGTCTCTCTCTTTCTCCTTTTCCTTCCGTTCATTCTCTCTCTCTCCTTTTCCTTCTGTTCATTCTCACACTCACTCTCTCAATTTCTCTCTCTCTCTCTCTCTCCTTCTGTTCATTCTCTCTTTCTCTCTCTCTCTCTCCTTCCGTTCATTTTCTCTCTCTCTCTCTCTCCTTCCGTTCATTCTCTCTCTCTCTCTCTCTCTCTCTCTCTCTCTCTCTCTCTCTCTCTCTCCGTTCATTCTCTCTCTCTCTCTCTCTCTCTCTCTCTCTCTCAAACAAATAAATGATATTCGCCATCATCAGGACAGTGCAATCCTTAGTCTTCAGGCAGAAAACATTATCAACTAGCGCCAGCCAGAAATAAAATGTTATCAGATCCAACCCTCCATTATTCGTTACGTTCATGCTTAGCCATATTTGTATAATGAATACTGGCTGCATACGGCGCAGATGGTAGGCTTAAAATATTATATTATACAACAATGTCTATCAAAATCCGTATTAAATATTCTGCATGGCGTTCTTCAGGGCTTTGACCTCATCCCTTTTATTGAGTTCTTAAGATTGAAATGTTACTTTTAACGAACTGCAGTTCTTAGCATGAATGAAGTTAGAGTTTCTATTAACTGAAATGTCAGCGAACTCTCGAGAATAAGATGGGGAGAATAAGATGCACGGATGGGGGGGGGGGGGAGGCGAACTCTTCTTTCAAGGTATTCAAACGCTGCAGTGTCCATGCTAACTAAAATGTTCCATTTAATTATATGTCGTGAAGGGACTTCGTATATCATTTATGCTACGCCTCGAGGCTGTGACACCGACTGTAAATGAGCTCAAGCAGTAATTATGAAGACTTCAGTCTGACAGAGATCGTGGTGAGACGACCTCGATGTATTATTCAGGTCTTGATTTCTATGGAAACCCTGGGGGAGAGCTGAGGTGTTCGCTCAATGAATTACACTGAACATCTGTGGTTGGATCGATGTTCTTTTTCTCCACTGAAGGACAATGGTTAAGTAGGCCTATATGTCTTAAGTGGGACGTTCTTAACGTGTGGTTTGACAACAAAACTTCAAATCTACCAAGTTTTCTTCACGTGCGCTGACAACCGCAGTGTGTGACAGTAGTGAAACTGTTATAATGTTCTAGTATATAAATGATAAATTTGCGTCTGTCGTTCTCTACTTTTTTGGTGCTGGGGGGGGGGGGGGGGGGGCTGGTGCAGGATAAACATAAGGCTTTCGATCAACTCACATCTATGCCAAAATCGAGTCTAGTTATTTTGCACTTTGTGTGTATTACAGGACTGAGTATGAATTTTTTATTAATGTCTGCGAGACCTTTCAGGATTCAAGTGGGCAAAAATGCTCTACATACTCACACACTTGACATGTGTTATTGTGTTGTTTATTTACTGTGATAACTTGTGTACATACGCCCCCTGCACGTGTATGCACATCTGGCCGTATTGCTGTACCACAGCGTGTCTTATGGTGGTAAACTTATGTTGTCTGTACATTAGACTAGTGACATTTACACGGTAGGTTGAGGAATTTCTCCAGATCTCTCTCTCTCTCTCTCTCTCTCTCTCTCTCTCTCTCTCACAGACACACACACACACACACAGAGATGTACTAACATCGACAAACGCACAAACACAAACCCACACAGGCACATCAATAGCGTATCCTAGACCTTGGGTGACAACAATCTTTTCTAAGGAGAGAAAAAAGTGACAAGACTTTTCAATAGTGCTTTCCCCCTTCCTCAGGAATATAAAATTTGGCCCTGAGCAGTTTCATTAACTTTCCAGTTATTTTTCCTGTCACGCTGTTAGCGGTGACACAACCTTCCTGTGACTGTCTTATGATTACGTGTTTTGTGTACAGCTGTGCACAAAAAGCTCATCCGCTTCCTCCCGTCATTGAAATTGTGGTATTTACTGTGTTTAAAAGATCAATTAACACGTCCTGAATGTTACCATTTATGACTTACTATATAATTATGAGTCAATATTTATGTCAGTGTATAATAATAGGCTGTTTTAAGTGGGGTCCCGTAGACATCTGGGTTACCTACCCTCAGCTCTACCAGGGCCACAGATTAATGATGTGCACCTTTCTACAACACAGTGGAGAAATGCACCGTGAATTCATTAGATACATATATGTGAATATATAGTGAAAATAGGCCTTCCGTGGCTCTGGTAGAGCTGAGGATACGAGTTAGCCATCTCTATTGCAGCTAGTGGCCTGTACGTCACGTATAACGAGATGGGGGGAGGGGGGTGGTGGTCAGGAAATTTAATTTTAACCTGATGATATTCTACGTCCTAGACGGCCCTAGACGGTCCTAGACGGCAGATAAATACGCCTCACGTTCGTAACTTATAATAAAGCAAACAAATACAACTTAATTTCATTTGTTATCCAGGAATACGGAAGCCATTGTGTGTCTCGGAGATGTAAAATAATCGATCTGAACCTGGAGCAACCGAACACGGTCCTAGATCTGAACGAGCTTAATGTTACATGAAACTAACATTACTGGTCTATTTATAGATTGCACACTGCACGTTAACATCGGTGGCTTTTTAAAAAGAAGTATGTTTTCCAATACAGGTATTTCTGTGGAAATGAAGGGATATTCTTTGATGGGGGAGGGGGGGGGGGGGTTGAGGGGGCATGGATTGGCTGTATAAAACAAAGTCCCGTATAAGATTAGACAAATGCCAAGAGCGTGCCAGTATAAATCATTACGTATAAATGTAAATTATATGAATAAATATTGTTATCAACAAGATCTTTTCTTACCTGACAGCAGGGCCAGCTTCTTGGCTACGACGATAGCTTTTAGTTCATTTCCACAGCATTTCAAAAGTTTATACTGAAGGTTAAGAAAATCCGAGAAAGTCCGTTTTATAAACCGCGTCCTCTCATCAGACCAGCGAACCTCCACGATAAAGGCATAATCCGTTTTCCCAGTCTGAGCATTCTTGATGGTGGCGAAGCCGTTCACTGACGCCTGTTCTATGGATAAATTACAAAAACTTAGACCGTCCCATGTATTGGAAGCCATGTCCGATGTGTAGAGTAGTTATATGCACAATATATACTGAGATACCTTTTCCACAAGGTCGCTAAATCGGTGGTAGGAAATATGACGACAGCGAAGTCAGACGTATTTCATAAGAAAGAGTGTGTGGAGAAAAATTCCTCTCTTTTCCTTTTGCTTCAACTACGTGCTGAGATGGCGCCTTGCCCAAGATTGCCAGCTTTCTATCTCCCAAAACGCACTGCTTTCCTTTAACTCCAACAATCAATAGAAGCCCTTGGTAGATAACGTTGGAATTTTACTCCGCAGCGGTTTCCAACACTGACAAAAAGGCAACGTTCGGTGTTTCTGAACAACGATCTGCTTATCTTTCCTGGCAAAGTTTAGAATTGATCATAACCTGAAGCAAGAGAAGAGAAATATTAGTCATAAAATTCTGAGTCTGGCACTGTTTTCAGTTACCTTCGTCATAAGAGATACGCAAATGAACCGAAACTTTTGAAGGCCAAATAGCGAACCTCAAGCAAAGTAAGGCCAATAATCTATATTGGTTTGTCTGAAATGCCTTACCTAAAAAAAGAACCCTGTAAACGGTTGTATCTTAATTTCAACTGGTATTTATCTTACAATTGCAAGTCAGAGTCTTATAAGTTCAAGCACAAATTGGTCTTTGGCTGCAGCCGAACCAGAATATATAAGGATCCGGTGTACAGGAAATCCGGTACAAGTTGATCCGCATTGCTTCCGATGGACGTTCAAATCAAAACAAATATGACCCATTCAGTAAAACACAATAGAACTACATATATAAATATATAATTTAAAATCCCAAAATTGTTTTAAAACTAAATATTTCTCATGTTGGATTAGGAATAAAATTTGATTCAATCATTTCATTTACACAATGGAAGTAATTAACCCCAATTCATAACAATAATTTTAATGATGAGTAGCCGGATATTATATATGAGTGTGTAACCCACAATCGAGATCAAGGTTTATTTATTTCCAGCTAAAGGTAATCTTTCTACCTGCTTTCCGGGTTTCTGGTTATTCCACTGGACGAGCCTTTCGTTTCCTCGTAAAGAGTGACATCAATTGAAGCGAGAGCGAAAACAATATCAGATTTCAGCCCAGAGATACTTAGTCGGAATACGGACAAATGGCCTCAACTTTTGTGAAGGTTCAAATTTTATTACGGTGTCACGGTGTAAGCTTCATATTTGTGACTGCGGTAATAGGTTTAGAGTGACTGTGTCAGCGTTATTGTTTCACTTACAGTTCTATTATTGTGGGCAGGGCACCTTATGCATCACTGCTGTACGAGAGCAACGATATCGGCACTAAATTACAACAGCGTTTAAACATCACCTAGCGTTTGAAATATTACATTTTTTATATATTATATTATATATTTCTGCGTCCAAATGGCTACTGACAGAATGGTCGAGATAATTAGAAATAATTGGAAAACTCCCCTTTATCGCATTCGTATCCGAAAAAACAAAATCTAAAATTCGGTCGAGGGATAGAATTTGTGACCCCCCTCCCCTCACTCCTCAACGGCCTACCCCATTTCAGGGCCACAAATTGACTTTTCAACAGATATTCACAGATACACATGTATGTTTCTGGCTAATTCGTGACGGTTTTCAACTGTTCAGCGAGAATATTTGTCAATTTTAATGTCACCGTGCACTCAGCTGGCTTCTACTATTTATTGTACGGAGTATTCCAGTCTCAGGGATATCTTTCACTGCTCATTATCCTTTTAATTCAAGTGACGGTGATCTCACGATGTACCTGACACACGTAACACTGCTATATCATCGCTGCTATTGTTCGGCACTTATCGACCTTATCACGTAACGTACAGTACTGTACTCACTGGAGCTGTGACAAGAAACACTGTGGTCGTCCATAAAACAGCATGGAGTCACTTGATTGCAATTCCCCTCTTTTCTGAGGCAAGCGGAAGATGGGTTTGATGTGTAAGCTCAGAGAGAGAGAGAGAGAGAGAGAGAGAGAGAGAGAGAGAGAGAGAGAGAGAGAGGTGCAATTAAACACCTACTCCATGAAATAAAAGCTTAACGCTTTTTTTTTTTGTAAACGCAAATCTGAACGAGATCTACTTGTAATAACTGGAGTTGCTCATATCTGACTCATAGCGGCAGTATCATGTTACCAGCCTTGACTTTCACGGGCCCGCTTTCCCAGCAGCGTTACCTGTGGGTCCCCGTACCATACCAGTGACAACTGATATCCATGTGTCACCTACTTCACTGTTAAAACTTCGCGTTGACATATTTCAAGAGAAGATCGCTACGAGAGTTAGCTGGGTAAAGTAAGTGACGGCACTGCGTTAACCTCGGCACTGAGGGTCATGGGGTAGAAATTTAAAATTTACCACATTTTTACCGCCAACAAACAAACAAACAAACAAACAAACAATAAATAAATAAATGAAAATAGTATTGAATCCACCTAACAGTTTTTCAAGTTTGAACATGTGAAATGTCTCAGGACTAGAGCAAAGTTTCATTTTCACCTTGTAACTATTATATACACTATCTACTTCGTTCCACAGGAAATGGTGTCACTGACAATGTACTAAACAACCTATGTAAATACTCGGACCTCTTTTATTCTCAGCTTTTCCTCTTCTACAATTCATTCAGGCCTCTGGCTTCCCACGTCCGTGTTATACTATACTCGAGCACTCCCGTCCAACTTTCATCTTCACTGTTGTGCGGGCGGATACAGGGGGTACTGGGGGGGGGGGGCGGGAAGGGTGAAGGGTTCGGGGGGGGGGGGGGCCCCCTCACACCCTCTTCCGCCAAATACAAAGTATAAGGACGTTAAGAAAGGCGCAATCTGCAGTGTAACGCTGTAATAAAACAGGCAAACTGCCACCAGGCAATGTAGCTCAACCCTAGAACTTCACATCATAAAACTGAGTTGTTTAATCCCCGTCGGAAGCATGAACTGGGGGCAACTATATATACACCGTGCTCTAGGTTGTGGGATTATTTACGTAAGAATACAGTAACTTGGTCGCTCTGACAGTCTTACTTACATCATAGTTTTCCTGTAACGGTTGCACATCTCTTTGTTAGTCCATACAGCCGAAAGAATTTGATATCGATCACAATTCTAATTCCGTTCTCCTCTTTTTCCGCACTCTGGCGTGTCAAACATTGACAAAAATTGATCTTCGTCTGCTTAGGTAATAAGAGGCTTGCTTTTCTCGTCTAAAAACGCCCTTTTCTTAAATGATATTGCAACCATTTCAACGTACCGTTTGCACCGCTAGAAGGTATTCTCGAGTGAATATTCCGCACACTAGCAGCAAGCTGATGTTTCAAATACGTAATTTTTTCTTTTCTTCTCTCTCAATATCCCGTCTTGTTCATGAAGCCTGCATTCTGCTGATGTAGACCTCTGTGCTGAATATAGCTAACATAAATATGTAATGTGCGGATCCCGCAGTATGACTATAGAACTAAATCCGTTAATGAGGATGCCTCCAACCTTCTCACTCCTCTGACATCATCGGCAAGTATTTCACTGGTGATCACATTACAGTGGGCGACCCCAACACCCGCGCCTTCCACTCCACTTCTTTCCCTGGTCAGTGAATCTTCAAGATCAACGAAACCAAAGGGATATTCCCAGTCCTAGCTGTTCTGCGATTGTGAAAACTGCGTTTATCAGCAATCGACGAACCCTGAGAGTTTGAAGGATGTATTTAATCCCGTCGTGGTTAATTAGTGGCAGATCCACTGCAGCAGCGTTCGTTACTGCCTAGTATTAAGTGAGCTTCAACGCCCTCTGCGCTAGCCTCGCATCCTGGCCGCTTCGCTCACTGCGCATCTGCCAATCAACACGCTGATGGGATCGTCTGCTTTCCCGGCTGCTAATTCCTCCCAGATGCGTCTCTCTTGGACGCTATTGATTTCATTTCCGAAGGACTAATCACCCCTGGTCCTCACGTGAAATCCTGGGGGACGGTGGCAGCGTTTTAGGCGGGGTTTTCAGCAGGTGGAGAGGATTAGGAAAACAAGGTCGTCATCCACCGTCCACTGCACGCTTTGTTAACTTTCAGTGCCGTGAATTTTAGTACCTGACATTTTAGGGAGAGGGTAAGGTAAATATTATATCTGATAAAAAAAATTAAATCACAACTCTCAAAACTATCTATGAAGCTTTTATAGAATTAAAAGGGAGAAAAATTGATGGTGTGATTTCTTTTGGCATGGACGAGGCATAAAAAACAGTGAAATTTGCGATGATTATGACAAAGAAATTGAATATATATATGTGAATTTACTGTTTCAACAATAAAAATTTTCACTTATCCTGATTTTACAATAAATATCTGCAAATGCAGAGCATTATAATAGGAATAACATGAACTGTTCACTGTATTGCTTTATTGTATAGATATCAAAAGAATAAAGAATATAAAAACAGAGAAAGAGAAGAAAGCATGAGTCAGTAACTGTAAAGCGAGTAAAATAAAAATGTAACTGAATAAAATATAAGTAGATAATTAAATGAATGAATTATTCAATTGATGACAAAGGAAGAGATGAAAGAAAATATGAAGGAAAAAAGAAAGAAATGAACGTAAATTGCTTGGAAAAGTCAAACAAACAAGTAAAAATAGGAATAAAAGCCGCAGAAAGCAAGACCATCTGTGGATCACCAACCTTTGATCTCGTTATTTCATGTAAAGGTTATTACACGCTTCTCAACGCAGCTGTTAATTTTTTCCTTGTCCTCTCCCTATAATAGACGAGGACCGCCAGTTTAACCTGGACACAATACGGTGACACTATAACGGGATATTCCACGCAAGGGGGAAACCTGTCCTTCGGAATGACGTATGTCACGGGGTAAACGTTTTCTTCACTGGGTAATGTGTGGATACGGTTTTGTCTTATTTTACAGGCAGCGTTCAAGACATGGAAATTCTCGCAGATTGGCGCTTTTGAATATACCATTAAGAAAAAGAATAAAATATGGGTATGATAATCAACGATTTAGCATTTTTGCTGGTTTTGTGAAATAACCTATATTGTCACTGGGTGTGCGCGCGCGCGTGATATATATATGATGCGGGGACTGAAATAACCTGTAAAGTATTCAAGGTGTATTTTGTGCGTCTGAAAATTACTCATATAATTTTTGATATATATCCAAACCTTCAGCAGATCTCCACAGATTAAAAAAGTTGAAGCAGTTGCTTTAGTGGATTGTAGACGCTAAATATGCCATAAGCGTAACCGCAGTCATTGCAATAGATGTACCACACCCGTGGCAGCGGTCATTGCGTTAGATAAGATAAAAAACGCAATCCGAACCTGCGATAATCTACGATGACAGGGGGTGCTCACTTGGAATCTAAACACATTCAAACCAAGTGCTTTATTTGGAGTTAAATAAACGGGTATATTGTTTAACAATTCTCCTTGCTGACAAAGACTGTTTTAGTCGATTTCAAGGTGGAGGCCTGGATTCTCTCCAACCTCTTCCCATGGGATCTTTCCACACCCTTCGCCTTTCCAATAGATCATAGGCTGAACGCTTTAACCCTCTGGACCCTCTCACTGTGTCGTCCCTTCCCTCAAGACCCCAGTATATATATATATCACAAGCAACATCATTTTTACCCTCTGGACCCTCCCACTGTGCTGCTCCTGCCTTTTAAATCCCCAAGTTGCTATACCACGAGCGGTTTTATTTTAACCCACTCAACCACCTGAGTTTTACACTCTTCTGGAGATATTTTTCATATTTTTTATTATATTTATTATTATTATTATTATTATTATTTTGTTTGTTTTTTGACACAGTGGTTTGTTATCAGCCTGAGAGCCAGAGCACTGACGGTGGCTCCATCTCTGTCCCACGCTTTGCTCGTTGTCTTCTAGGGGGCGTCTCGATAGTCCGAAGGTTCATTGGTCCGAAAAGTGGTAACATTTTCATCGATTTTTTAATCAAGGGTTCATTGGTCCGAAGGTTCTATAGTGAACATTCGGACCAATGAACCTTCGGACTATTGAACCTTCGGACTATCGCTACGGCCCCGTCTTCTCGAACTGGGAATTTACAGCTGACAATTATCATTTCTCTCATTCTTACAATTCCTGTTTTTTTTTTAATTTCCCCAAAACAAATGTCAACAATAACCACTTTTTACACCCTCTATTCAGAATGTAGCAAAGCTGGAGGGTGGAACTAATTGCGTCCCCAAAAATTTATTATTATTTAAAAATATAATACCGTTCATTTTATGTATTTTAAATCTGAGAGTAGACTAATAATTGTGCATTCAAAATTGTCAAACAATTTAATCCCTCTAATTTGTCCTATATTAATAATAATTGAGTCTACAATAAACCCCTTACAATGCTTATGGTCCGTATTCTTATGGAATTCAGTAAATAATTCAAATATATGGTATTACAATAACCCTTATACATGTAGAGGGACCACTGCTACATCTACATAAAACAACTACAGAATTGTCTTCTATGACATAATAAGTCTGTTACCCTCTGTCTTCTATTGAAATAAATAAATAACATGAAAAAGTAAAACGAACCTATCAGCATAATTTACTGGGCAATTATTCGACTCGAAATCCAATATGTGTTTTAAATAAACCTTGTGTAAATCACATAGATCCAATAATCAATAATCTTAATTAGTTAAATAAATCAAATTAAAGTTTGCCTTCCCCATTTTCATTACTCATTGTCCGTATTCTTATGGAATTCAGTTAACTTTTTGTCCGTGTTTACATTCACGTTTTATTTGTCCAAGTTCTCGTTTGTCGTTGAATGTCCATGTTACTTTTGTCATTGTAATAATTACAGATAATATTTTCACCGCTATTGTGTACTTTCTGAACGATGAATCACATAATACAACATTGGTCAAAAAGGTTGTCCCACCCCCATTTCCATGTACTTTTATTTACAAATGATCACCTTACAGCTGTAAATTATTAGAAATAGGGCCTTTTATTACAGATACCGTGTCTAACATGATTAATGGTTGAAAAAAATACAAAATAGTGGTGAAAATATACACATTTTATACCATTTAGTAAAATTTATAAGAGGTACCCCCTCAAATCCACTGTTTCACTGTGACTTCTACAGATGTAAATAAATGTCTATAAAATTGAAAAGACGCCATCAAATGTCACCAAATTCACACACAATTAGCATTAGGGTGTGCTCGTTAAAAATCACGTGCCTAACAGTGTGCGTCTACCGCGTGCTGCATATATCTCCTGTAGACGGCGCGACAAGCCTTCAACATGGGTAACAATTCTAGAGTTGTATATGGTATCTGTAATAAAAAACATTGTTTATAGCAATTTATACCTGAGGTGACCATTTGTAAATAAAAGCACATGGAATTGGGGGGGGGGGACAACATTTTTGACCAATGTCTCTCTCTCTCTCTCTCTCTCTCTCTCTCTCTCTCTCTCTATATATATATATATATATATATATATATATATATATATATATATATNTAGATCGATCTATCCCCGCGGGGAGTCTCACTAGATTACTGTCAGATAATCCGGCTTAAATGTCCATCCCGCCTACTACAAGCTGTAAGGGGGTAATTAACTTTCGTGCCCGCTCGGCTGACAGCTATTTAGCGTGAACCCCAAGGGAGTTAGATCGATCTAAAGTAGATCGATCTTATCTCTGGGAATGGGGTCTAAGCGTGTTTTAACTCCCTATGACGACGAGAACACCGATGTACCTGTAACAGGAATGGTAGTCCTAGGAATAGAAGTCAGGTCTCCCATATGATAAGAATAGTTAAAGGTTATTTGGGTTATTGGAGTTAGTATATAGGACGAATGTCAACTGTACAAAGTAATGGGTAGCGGAATTCCATTCCTGTTACACCGGACCATATCTTGCACTAGTTTTCCCTGACATTTTGAATTATTTCCTTATTCCTTTAACCAAATGGCAGATTCAGCACTTATTCATTCCTGAGACGGAATAATTGCTCTATTGGTGAAGCTTTATAAGAAAATATTTTGATTTATTGCATCTCCAAAACTGTCTGAACATCAAGTGAACCATTTGAAGGATTTACCACAAGAAGACAGTCAATTGCTGACAAACTGATACCTGCTTCACAGATATTATATATCATACAACATAAAAGCAGCGCTTTACAATATAACACCAGCAGATACATTACTCACTGACCACAAATAGGTTAACCCAGTAACAGGTTGTTTATATGGCTTAATACATCATTGTACTGATCTGTTCCATTTCATCTACTCTGTATCTACAACGAAGAGTTCTTTGCGATAACAGAGGAAATACTCAAGAAATGAAATGTGATAAATGACCACGAGTGTAGCATGGGGCAGAGTACTAGTAAGTTTGTCGTGACCTGCATACACGTAGATGTGTTGTTCTGTATGGTAAAAGACAAATACTGGGATAAAGTGCTGACAATGAAGAAAGTCATGTGAAAACCAAGTGGGGGAAAACAGATGTAGACAGACTAAGCAGAAAGACGTTAATTTGGCCTCATTTTAACATTTTTCAATTTTGATAACCAAGTTAGATGATAGAAATGTCAGACTGAGCCCAGAAAGAGCCAACATTTAAAGTTATGACGACCGAAGATAATACTGATGTTACGAGACATTGTGGAACTATCATATGATGTTGAAAAATGTCCTGACCATTAAATAAGTTACAGAAATAATGACGTCCTTATGTACCTTTCATTCATAGTGTTTCAGGTAAAACAAGTTATGGCAATTTGTGTTTGATAAATATGTACTGACTCATCGATGAGACCGAGGATTACTGATGACAATGTGCTGTGGATAGATGAAGATGCTGGTGTCGATCAGGAGACTGAAATTTGGGTTGAGAATAAAACGCTCACTGGAGGTAAGACTAAGGGAAGATGGTTGAAAACAAGATTGAATATAATATTAATTTTAAAACTAGAACCAGTGATGCCAATGCAATACACCCATGGGAAGCACAATAGATAGATATATAGATAGAGAGATAGGTATATTAATAGATATTGGTTGGTTGGTTGGTTAGTTAAAATAAAGGGAAATAAGAGGTCAGTATGATTGTGGTAAAACATAAATAAAAAATAGATATAGTTTAAAAAACTACATAAATATTAAAATAGGCAACTGACATTGTAAAATACCACTTCAGTTACCTAGGAATGATATATTTTGTCTATGAACCAGTCGGTAATGATCGTAAATATTCAGTTTCTCTGAATTCAGAATCTGTGGCCTGTGTACCCAATAATAATAATAATAATAATAATAATTTATTAAGCCAATAAAATACAAATGTATAAAATCGGGAATCTTTTGCCCTGTAGTAGCGCCATTGAAATATAAAAAAAAATGAAAATTAAAATTACATGTTAGAGTTAAAAATAGTTACTGCCGAAGGATAAAAGCTATTTAAAAATCGCTTACTACCCTTAAAAGCTAAGAGTCTCGAATTGCTAGGTAAAAATTTAAAAAGGGTATGGGCTGGATGGTAACTGTNAGGAGGGTAATTGAAGATGAATACCATTTTATACTCAATTGCCCAATGTACAAAACAGACCGAGATACCATTTTATATGACCATAGCCGTCACCGGCGTCTGTCGTCGCCGTGCACGTTCACCGATAACACGATAAGTGGTAAACCGTTTCACCTTCTGGCTTGAAACTTACAGAACCTTACTGGAAATTCATTAAACGCAGGTCAAATTCGAAAGTCAGCATGATTGGGCCATTTTTTCAAAAGTCATGCTGTTTTTCCGCCTTTTTTCAGCATATATGCACCACTGATAACACATTTCAACGAAGCCCGTTAGGCCTATTGTCTTGAAACCTACAGGGGTGATCAATCTTAATTATATACAGATCAAGTTCGAAAATAAGCTTGCACGGTTAAGTTATGCCTTTTTTGTATATTAGTGGTTTTTTCCTCACATTGAATTATTAGGCATGTTAACAGTCTTATAATTGAAGTAATTAGATACGTGTTCTTTTGACATTTTCTGCATCTTTACAATATTGTTTGTTGATTATATAAAAATGATAGAACATCTGTAATCGTGTATTGTGTAATAAAGTGTCAAAAATGTAAATAAACCCATATCATTGTGGTTTGTCAATCTTTACTATGTGCAGAATCTCAGAATAGAGCAAATTGGACATTTAAAATTGTTCTATTGAAATTTTCCTATGTCAAACATTTTCTCAGTTGATCATAAAAGAAACAGTAAATTGATGATTTTGTTTTACACTGATGCTCATAAGTTAAGCAACACCCCGATTTTTTCAAAATTTTTCTTCTATCATGATTATAATTTCATTTGTTGATGGGGTTATGCATATTTCTTTCATATTTTATAAATAACTTATTCAAGTTAAATATTTTTGTTAAATATATACACAACATAGCTTATTGTAATAATCAAAATAACTTTATTAACCAAACGGTACTAAAATATGCCAAACCATGTGTCAAAAAAGTATGCTCACACAGCAAAAAGTACGTGCTGATTAAAACAGCTTATTATGAAAAAATAAAGTTCGATCATCTAAGAATTAGTTTTAATAAAATAAGACTGTAGATAATAGATGATTAATCGTCTATTATGCAATAAATATCGGGTGTGCCTTCCCTGGTTTTGAACAACAGCTTCACATTGTCTCCTGCAACTTGCCATCAAATTTTGCCAATCTTGCTTTGAGAGCCGTTCCATTCTTCATTTACTGCCTGCTGGACCTCTCTAATGTTTCTAACTGGAGGTTGTCTCTCGTTTACTGCCCTGTCAATCATATCCTAAGCATGTTCTATTACATTGATAATTGTTATTCAGGCCAATCCAAATGTGGGATACCGCGCTGTTGCAGCGCGTCTTGCACGGACCATGCTTTCTGGATGGGCGCATTGTCCTGCTCCAAAATGATTTTTCTTTCTGTATTTGCTTGAATGTGTGATTGTATGCACCCCAATGGTATTTCGTCTCTGTATTGTTGACCAGGGCACCTCCCTTGAATGACGTACGGTGGCAATTTTTCATTGTTTGGCTGATATGAACTGGTCCTGGTGGCATAATCGAACCAGATATCTCTTGCGTCGGTTAATATTATTCTACCAGAAAGAGGCTTGTCCAATACATGATGAGTTTGGCGCCATTTTGCTACCAGCTTGGACACTTGACTTGGTCCTACTTTTTTGTTGCCTTGCAATCTGTCTCTTTGGCACCCCAGCACGATGGCTTCCCATTATTTGCCATCTGATTACTTCGTTGAGTCCTCTTTTAACCATTGGTTGGTCCAAAATAACAAATTGTGCCCATGAAACTAGCCAAACTGGAAGCTCCTCATGGCATGACCAAACTGTGTTTTTCGCAAGTGGGACCCCCATTGCATATTCTATCGTGTCCAACAGTAAATAGTACTCTAATGTCGAGGTCCAGTAAGTCAAAGTAAAAACAAGAGAAATGTCTAGCTATTGTATAAATTTTGCCTCAATAAAAATTTTGGTTGCTGAGAAATTCGAGAAATTCTACAGGACATTCTACCAGAAGTGGCCTGGAAATTTAGTGATTTTTGGGGAGGTTTGTTTTGTATTATTTTGATTTACGCAAGACATAAACAACCTTTTCTCACTTTCAATACCAAGACGTTAAATTATTTCGCTAATTTAAATGTTGGATAATTACTGGATTATAGTTTTACATACATACATACACACCACCGCCCCCGGCCCCCATCACCACATGAATTTTATTTTGTTAGTAAATTTTTCATTTGACAGACTAATTCGTCCCAGAAATCCACATCTTTTAATTACCTGTGACTCAATTAACGAGAAGGGTGTCGCGGTGGTCTTCAACAAAAATATTCAACAATACACTCATAAAATTGTGAGCCATTAAAACTGGTTGATTGGGAAAGAAAAGACGCGGGGATGGGCTAGCTAAGAGAAATCACGTTATCATAAATTGGGGTTGACTGGCAAATTCGAACACCTCTATAACATATAAGTATTTCGCACAGATCTTACTATTTTGCTCCAAATTGGCATCACAGTGTACATCATTGCTCAAATGATCGAAGGTTTCTATAACGTCTAGGGTAGTTTTGTAGTGGATGACCAAGTCACGACTTAAAATGTATTAATATGAAACATATGATCTTGATTACTTAACAGTCTTCGCAAAAGATCTCGCATGCAGCGAAATGACAAAGACCACCAAAGCACGCTTTGAAATTAACAGTAAAAATTGAGTAAGAGAGATATTTAATGGAGCTTAAGGTTCTTCTCTCTCTCTCTTATTTGTTTCTTTATTCTTTATTTTTATTTGTAAAATCCACAACTCCTCTGCATCAACCTACGCAACTTGATAGAACGCGCATGCGCACTCTCAGTTTGCTAACGTGGAAAATTGCTGCGTGCCCACCTTTGAAAATTGTATAAATAGGAAGAACGGAGGAAAGAGCGTCGCAGTTTCCCCTTCTCCTTCTAGTCTGCTACACATTGGACAAGAAAGGAGACTCTCTTGAAGATGACAGGACAAGGAGGCATGGCCGTGCTTCTGATCATCGCTTTGATAACGGTGACATCCGTTACTGGCGCGGGTCCCATCCCCTTTACTCCGCAGGAAGAGGCTCAAAGAGACGATGCTACGGCTGAGATAGCTAACCTTCCAGCCGAGGATCAGGAGGCACTGCCCACCGGTCCAATACGTAAGTTACATTTTTTACTAAGATTGCAAACGTGGCCGAATATGAAAACGAAGATTTATGGTTAATGACTTTAACCTAGGTGTCGGCAAGAATGTTAATCAGCTTTTATCACGTTTGTTTATCTATCTGCTTTTACCAATGCTTTAGAAAACAACAATCAAATATCCATTGTCAGAGACCCCACATTGAGTCTTTATGACATCACTTGGCAACCAAAATAAACAAAACCCCTGAAGATGCGATGAAACCGGTCGGGGTAAAATAACTACAGTTTTTTATTTCTTTTTGCAATATATATATATATATATATATATATATATATATATATATATATATATATATATATACTCGTACAGGAAAAACACTTTTACTTTCAGAAAATATATATACTTGAAATTTAATATGGAATATTTTTTCCAAATCATTTTTCATCAAACTTTGCCGACCGTTAAATAAAAATTAGGAATTAAAATAGTGTTAAGATGATTTTTTTATCATCTCTTTGATGTCATTGTGACTTCAGTTTCTTAATTGAATTCGCCAATAGTAAACAAAAATACATTGTCTATTCTAAGTCATACGCCAACCATTAAAAGCGATATTTTAAATCTCATGTTACGCTTTTCTTCATCTGGCTGCTACCAGAGCTCTCAAGCGGCAAGGCATTCCTTGGGATAGGTTTTTAGAGTTTAGTCTGAAATAAAATTCCAGGCAACGGACAAAACTTGTCCAGTTTGGTTCAGTTTTGTTGTAAGACATGTAGGCCGTTGATTTGGCGAGTAATGACCTACTCACATGTAAATATGACGATTTTGATGACCAAGGTAGCTGCTCATTCCCTTGGTTCTGTAAGTCATCTGCTGTTAAAAGTGCTCTATGTGAACCGGCAATCTTATCGTGCAACCTTAAATTGTTCCTAAGGTGCCCCCTGTTAAATGATAGTCAAGTGGTTCCCAGATAATTCTTTCATTTGATCTGGTACAGGTTCATCGCTGACTACCATTGGTGTTTTGGCGCCAGTGTGGTATCCACTCAAAATGCTGAAGCTGTCAATGGCCCTAGTCACTTTAGACGCGACACACGCTTCGTCGTAGGCTTCTTCAGGATGTCTGTAAACTCTGTTTTGAATAGTTGAGCGGTACAGGTGGAATCTGACCTCAATAAAGAAAGCCACGCGGTTTCAATGTTCTACCCAGAAACGGTCATGGTCCCCAATTCATTAGGGAAACAGAGGACTTTGTTTTGCTGTTTACAGTGGCTATCTCAGAGGTCCTCTGGTATTCCAACCTGGTAAAACCAGTTTGGGGTCGCTAAGGGCCATAAAAACGCGTTTTGGTGACAATATGCCCCTCATCCTTAACAGACTGGGTGGTTTTTGCTCAGTTACAGCAGAGTATTCGGAAGGACAGTGAGTCCTGCACCCTGGTGGTAAGATTTCGATACTTTGGGTGTGGCATCTGTGTAGGTACATCAGTCTGGGCATAACTCTATAAAACTGTGCGGACCGCTCCGTGTGACACGATAATCTGTCTGGCAATGTCTGTCTTCTTCGCGCCATTCTGGCACACGGATGAACAATTTGGTAAAATACTTCTTCACTCATTTACCCACTGCAAAACCGACCGCTTGCATGCAAAATTTCAAATTCTTCTATGCAGTAGTTGCCGACATATGGACACTTTTTTGACAGAACCATGCTTCCCCACAGCCAAGCTTTGACCTACCCAAAGGAGCACTACAAAATTTATTCACTGAATATTACACAATGCAGCAGTGCAACAGACACGGTTGCCAGTTAATTGGTAGGGACACACCTGATTACACACTTCTCTATTTAGATAGCTTATCTGAGATCTGGGTTTTTAGGGGAAAAATGCATTTTAACCTTGACATATCTTTGAAACTGAAATGCAGCATATTTAATGTGAATTCAGTATATATAATGAAATATTAGGTAAACATTTTTAGTTCTCGAAAGTGTGTTTTACGTAAAATGTGTAAATCTGTATTTCTTGTAACGAAACAAATCCGACATGTTGCAGACAAATTTTATTTTAAATGATTTAAACTCCATTACGTTAAACTCCATTTCTCGAGGTCCAGGACTCAATCCGTAACCTAGAGATGTGGTTGAATCCGCTACCACCCTATAAATAGTATGAAAACAGTTTATACGTAGAAAAAAGCGTTTTAGAAAACCTCATCTCAATATGCAACAAAGAAGCAACAAATCTTGGTCACATGGACCTGTGACGACATACAAACCAAGGGTTTTCGACAGTCAGCTGAGCTACATTCTGAATGCAGTGAAGTAAGAGAAGGTTATGTTGAACAGAGTTGGGCAATTTTCGTTATGCTGTGGGATGCACAAGAAAAGGATCTGGCCAGGGGCGGATCCAGAGCTATTTACTGACAGTCTTCCAAATAATCTTTGTTAATTCATCCTCTAATTTTGATCGTCTTCCAAAGAAAAAAAGTAGATACCAACAGCTCCTTAACAAAGAAACTCGAAAGACTCAAAGATAATATACTTCAGGAAATCTGGATTGCGTTAGCTGTCTTACATATCATATGTCCCATAGCTTTTCAATACAGAAGTTTTTACTTTCCAAATTCCTCTTTTGATGTACTGTCTTGCGTATCATTCACTTTTAAGGAGACCCTTTAATGCTGACGGTGAAGCTATTATGGAGGCACTGGAACGTATCCAAATTAGTGTTCCTTTATCTTTCAAGTTGCCCCTGTCCATTTCAGCGCCAATCCCCCCTTGTGAATGCCATGCGCATGGTGATGTCCGCTATGTTACGTGTGATGGGAGAGTCTTCAAATATAACACCCCGACCAACGTTTACGGTATCATGGCAAAGTCTATAATAACCTGGTTTTGGTATGTAATAACAAGACAAGAATTCTTTGATGACACCCCGAAGACTCGTCTGTCAGCAGTGAAATTCAAGATCTTTTCTTACTTCGTGATTGTTGACTACAAAAAGACTTCGAATCCAGATGGACTGTACAGAATAACGGTACGTTTTCTCTTCGTCTTCTCTCTTCCTCCTCTGCCCTCTCTCTCTCTCTCTCTCTCAGGACACTTTATATACTACTTCCAAAGTTAAGAACATCACTTGTATCCCGTGAGCAATTCAGCTACAAAAAATGTGTACTCGATGTATATATGGTTGCCATATATATCGGGTAATAGAAACTGATAACGATGACAAGTGTATACTTATTATAACCTCCTGCAGAGGAGGAGTAATTCTTTTTACCGTTATTGAATGTGTTTATTGTTTGTTACTCCAGATTTCGATTTCTGCTTGTTTGTTTACATGTATGTTTGTTTGTTTGTATGTTTGTTCGCACTGTAAAGACCGTAATTTTCATCATATCATTTCCATTTTTCCCTGAAAAGTTATCGGGACAAGTATGTGACCGAATTTTTAAAGGTCACTCGGTGCATTTTCCGGAAGGAAGTGGCCATTATTGCCTACACCAAATACTTTTTCTTATTCTAGAATCGTGAAAGCTATACACATCTCTTTGTTGCGTTTAGTAGAGCATATCAAGTGCAACGCTGGAAGTGGTGTCCGTTTTTTTTTATTTGACTTATGGTTAAGAAATTGCGCTATTTTTAAAGGTACCTCATAACAATGCTCAATGGTGCTAATTTTCCGACCCTTATATCTCCAAAACGTCAAAAGAAAAAATGTTATCGTACCGTGTTGTTGTAAAACCGCCTTTTTTTCTCTCTCTGAGCCCACATCTTCACTCCCATTCACCTCCAGCTAAAAATGATCACTCAGCTTCACGTCTTCCACCACTTGACGTCACATGACGTTACAGTTCCGGCACAATCCTGTCTCCTCCGGTTTCCTTTATTCGTATTCCCGTAACTCTCCTGCCACGTATTCGCCAGGAAACGCATGTATGTATAAGTTTCGACTCCCGGAATGATAACAAAATTTCCCTTTTTTATTTATTATGAGCGCAAGATCTAAACAGCTTATTGCTCTTTTTTATTGTTTGTTTGACTTACATACATAACGCAAAAAGTAATAAACAAATTTTGATGAAATTTTCAGGATAGGTCACAAATAGCACAAGAAAGTAATTCTAATTAAAACAGATCTTGGTGGTCCGTTTATGAATTATAATTAATGATAAATTTACAGGATAGGTATCAAATGGGCCCAGGAAAAATTATCAGAATTTGATGATAGGATCCATTGATCAGTTCATCATTTAAAATTAATTTTTCAGGATAGGTACGAAATTGGCCAATTTCATGAAATTTTCAGGAGAAATCAGACATGGACGTGTGGTGATGATCCGTTAATTTCAATTAATTAAAATTAATAATTCAGTTATAACTTTATTGTTTGTTTTGGCAGAAATTGCGCTATCTGAGTCATTTTTAGTTATAAATTTTATGTTTATTTTTATGGAAGATAACACTATCGGGATTTTATTATTATTGCAGGTCGGAAATGATTATGTAGTTGGTCCGATAGCGGTCCTTTATGAAAGTCTTGGTCCTGATACTGTGGTACCTGGTGTAAAGTACGTAGGGAGCGGTTTTAACATCTCAATAATTGAGAAAGATGGCGATTGGTACATTCAGGTTCGTTGCATACTCCTGCCACCAGTCCTGTTCGACATTTATATACTTGTGGCCCGACACTGTCTCCAGCTTCACATTCCTCCAATCTGGCAATCCAGGATAGCAGGGATATGTGGAGATTGGGACAGAGATCCAGCGAACGATGTAGTGATTCTTGACAGGTGGCCACAGGTGACCGCTCCGTTTAGGAGATTCCCCTAATAGCACGCGACACCGATGACGTAAGTAGATTGTATTTTATCTGGAATATCTATAAGTTATACCCTCTTTCTCTCTCTCTCTCTCACCCACAAAAAACACACACACGTGGCATACCCCAGAAAACGTTTTTTTTTCCTAAAAAACTTATTTCACACCCGACTAATCAGATTTAAAACCATTAATTTTGTAACCTGATTTTTCAGCCTTTTGTTCTCCCTTACATAAATAATGACAGACACCAGGATATTACTCGACGATCCATGGCGTGATGACCAAAGAACCCAATCAACCAACCAACTCTGTACAAACTGTGCCTTCTTTCTCCAGTCAGTGATGTTCACGTGGAACACGGGAAGCGCTGGACGCCATTTCATGTTTCACAACCGTTGACTTGGACACAGGGTTACTACGGACCATGTCACTTAGACTTTTAAATCCCTATTTCTATGGAATATTTCTGTCTGTTGACTAAACAGAATTGAGAAAAGCTGATATTTGACTCGCACACTTATTTTTCGTTGGTGAACGTCTATTGGAGAGTCGAAAATTCACAAAAGGAACGGAATCATGGACAATGAAACTAACATTTGTGGGGGTGCTTGCTACTCTTTTGGTTCTACGATAACTATTCTATTTTTTGTTTGTTTGTTTTTAATTTTGACATTGATCGAGATATTTTATACCTTGAAGTGCAAATTATTGCATGTGGGTTTTTGTTAAGAAGGTTGAGATAATCATTTTGCCGTAACAGGTGTATGACATTATTTTGAGGATATAAAAAAAATTAGAGAAATCTCCGAACACAAGAGTGTCCATGACAGAGATGAAGACATTTGACACTTAAAAACAGATGCAATATGTCGCAAAAGAAAAAAGTACATCGATTTCTTTAGTTTTCACATATTTTGTTTGACGATGTCCACCTGATGAAGTACAGTGGAAACGTGATTTAAATTGGGTACGATGTAGTGACAATAGCTTCAGGTATTTTTAATGTTTTCATTTTTGATTTATATTTCTCTTCAATTCGATTCGCCCTGCTTGCAGCTTTAAAATCGTTATTAAATGGTATCCATGATATCAAATATCTATAGTTTGTTTTAAATATGTTAAAGGGGAAATATAAAGAATTCTGTTGATATTTTTTTTATAATTGGTCTACAGTTTTATTATAATTTCCCTTTAGAAACAACTTAGTCCCCCCCCCCCCAAAAAAAAAAAAAAAAAAAAAAAAAAACAGCGAATATAAAATCGGTCCTTTCTATACAATGTCATCACTGGTTCTCTGGCCGTTTCTTTTTTTTTGTAAATGAGGGCTAGGATGCAACATAGTGTCAGTTCTTAGGGGAGGGGGTTACAAGTATGAAAATTACAAATAGACGACGACAATATTGCTATACTAATTTGACGGACAAAATGCATCTTTTTGTCGTTAATTTCCCTTTAAAAGGACAAGAAGAGATATCTTAGAAGCTGAGGGCAGGGCACGTGCCAACTGCCCCTTCATGACGTTGAAGGCTAATGGCAAATTCAACTGAAAACATTTTCAAGTGCAAAAAGTAAAACTTTAAAGCATCCTTAAGGCATACCTTTGAGGCAATCGCCGCATAGAAGAAAAATGCGAGAAAAAAGAAACAATAAACCTAAAAAATAGTAAACCAAATACACACCTCTTCCATTTTTACTAAGGTTGATTATGTTTCCAAGCAACTGAGATTTAAAAAACTACTTCATGCGAATAGGTACTAACTGTCGCGAATTTATCGCTATCGCGAATTTATACCTGGGGGGGGGGGGGGGGGGGGGGGGTCAGGGGGGGTCAGGGGGGTCCTGAAAAATATATCACACCAATATTCCCCTCAAAAAACGGGGCCCTTGAACAGGGTACAGTGCCGCCGGAATCTAGCCTTACCAAAAGGCCGCAGGGGCCGCAGTGTCGGACAATATAGCCTGTATGATAATTACAGGTACGAGAATCGGCAGGTGATCATCATAGGACACCCAAACTTGACAGTCTAACGAACACACACTGCTCCTAAATGACCTCATGCCAGTTTTCTTTATCGTTAATGTAAAGAGATTGCTATGGACACGAGCAAACAACAACGGGATAAGTTGCATCAGCTGCAACAGAAAACTAAATGCAGATCAAATAAGAAAATAAAACGCTGTAGAACAAAACCAGTCATAATTTAACAACTTGTTGATAGGACCCAGTAATCACTGATATTATTAAGTGGGTCTTAGGCTAAACCTTACCAACATGAGAAAAATATCACAGAGCACATTCAGAACAAGTTGATCCGTGGACTAATATGGCCGACCCACATTACGCAGATCTGACTAATCAACTGATGGTCTCTCCTCCACAAGGGACGTCACTACAGGGGTCTAGCAATTAAACCCCGGACCCGTGATTAAATCTGTTAAATGCTGCTCACTGATAATTGATTGAGACAGTTGTGTTTGCAGAGCCTTGGAATATAATTTGCCATACGTGCGGCGGCGGTTAATGCGTTAGGTGAGACGTAGAAAACACAATCTGGATCTGCGCAGCATACATTTGATACAGTCGCAGCATACACTTACAGCAACGATCCAAATCTAAATTTCCCGTAAAATAAATCAACGATTATTTTGCAGTTGTGCTGCCTTCTGGGTAGCTGTATGATTTGCACGGGTGGATTCTCTAAAATCTTTTCCCACTTTGCCGTCCCACTGCTGCACCCCGGATCCAACAGTGGATTTATTGCAAGTGGCAACATTTTAACCCCCTGGACACTCCCACTGTGCCGACCCTTCCACCTGGTATCCCAGTGAATATACCAAACACGACATCACTTTAACAATCTAGACCCTCCCCTTCCTCAAAACAGTAAAACGTAGGGAAGTAAAGGATATAAAAACTTTCTACGCCTTGCCTGAATAGAGGCTTTTCACCTGGGTAGCCTCATTCCCTGATGAAGATATCCTGCTAGACATCGAAATATTGGAGATAAAAATATCACAGTATTAGCTGCTGACTGAAGAAAAATTACATCATTCTTATAACATAGCACAGCTGATGGAATTCTTCTCTGAATTGTTTCTACAGTTGTACCATAAAACATATATTGAAAATGGTAACTGGAGGGTGGGCAGAAACGTTAAATGTTATTCAGAAGAAATGCTTAAGTAGCATGTATGAGGAGGAGAAACCTTTTACATTAAAAGTTGCGACAATTTCTGCCTGTGTGGCTGTAATCGGGGCATTCTGCTCTATAAATCTGATATTCTTCCTGGTGACAGTATGCTGACAAGGACACTGTAATACTGCCATCTATCGTCATTCTACATGTGTAAGTAAGGAGTGTAAATGGTGGATTTTGATGGTGAGGTTATCCCACGTTTAGTATGTGCGTGTATTTACGAGTTACATTGTACAACATGCAATTCAGGGAAACAAGGCAAGCATATATTACTTGTTTTAGAAATTATACATACAGTTAAAGCACAATTTATGACATTCTTACGTATTATGGTGTAAAAGTGGCCGCAAATCTAATTTTAACAGCTTGTTAAATTATTCATTGGAAGTTGCTACATTCTGATGCTCAGCAGTTCTGTTAAAATCTAGGTATACTGGTGAATCATTTTAAGAAAATTCTTTGATATATTACATCTCTCAAAATTATCTGAGCGCCATTTGACGAAATTACGACGAGAACAAAGTCAGTTTCTGACAAAATGATATCTGCTTCACAGATATTCATCATACAATCTAAGAGCACTGCTTTACAATATTATACCAGCACGTAGCTGAAGATACATTTCTCATTGACCACAAATAGGTTAACCCTGTAACAGGTTGCTCATATGGCTTAATACGACTCTGATCTCTTCCATTTCATCAGCATTTGTATTCTGTATCTATAGCGAAGAGTTATTTGCTATAACAGAGGGAATATTCGCGAAAAGAAATCTGCTTAATCGCCACGAATGTAAACATGAGGGAGAGTAAGTTTGTCGTGGAGGCAGAGCAAGTTTGACGTGACCTGCATACACGTAGATTTGTTGTTCTGTATGATAAAAGACAAATACTGTGATTAAAGGACGACAATGAAGAAAGTCATGTGAAAACCAAGTTGGAGAAAACAGATGTAGAAAGACTGAGCAGTAACAAGTTAATTTGATTTCATTTTAACATTATGTTCATTTGAGAATTTGATTACCGACCATAGATGTTAGAAATGCCGGATTGTGTCCAGTAAGCAATGGTTACCAAAGATCCAACACTTAAAGTTATGACCTCTTAGGGTAATAATGATGTAGAAGGACTTGCGGAACTTTCATATGATGTTGAAAAACGTACTGACCCTTAGATAAGTTACGGAAATGATGTACCTATCATTCATAGGCTTTCAGGCACAGCATGGTATATACAAGACTGACAATTAATGATGACAACGTACCATAGAATGAAATATAATAAATGAGAATGCCGTTGCCGAAACTGAAATGTGGATTGAAGATAAAACGCTTACAGGAGGTAAGGCAAAGAGAACATGGTTGAAAAAGACCATTAATACTATTAAGAATTTTAAATTATAACTGGTGATACAACTGAGGGAAGTAATAGGGATATATAAATATTTAGATACTGTAGATAGATAGATAGGTAGATAGGTAGATAGATGAACCCGAAAATAGTTTTGAAATTTACTGCAAAACAAGAATTTATTTTGTAAAAGGAATATCGTAATTGGGCCAAAATAGGTTAATTATGAAGCCAGTGAGATTGTGGTGTAGCATAAAGAAGAAAAAGTTAGAAATACAAATTAAGAAAAAGGTAAAAAATACTGTGGCATCGTAAAATTCCACTTCAGTGACCGAGAAATGTCACATAGTTACATTTTGTAAATGAACCAGATGAAAATGATCATAAATATCCAGATCCTCTGGCTTATAATTTAGTGTAACATACTGCTTATAATACTATTTCAATGATAAATGAAATTTGATTTAT